GCAGTGTAGAGTAGTGCTTGTTGTTTGTCATTTCTCCGATCACAAATGCAGACATGGTTTTATGTTTACGCAGCGCGATACAACGCAACGCGGAAAAAGACAGTATACGTCATTATAATCCGTAATTATGTCCACACTGGATGCAACGAATGCCTCGTTTATAATGGGTTTTAATGTTTTTGTCTCGTCGCACCAGGACACGGCATCACAGTATGTGAGGGGCGTAACATTTCCGTCACACGCGTGAGGTATTTGGCCAATCACAACGCACTGGATAGCTGGCCAATCAGAGCACACCTCGCTTTTTAGAACGATGAGCTTTGTAAAAATCGACGTGTTTCAGAAAGGCGGGGCATAGAGGAGAAACAATAATGTACAGTATGTGGAAAATAATGTGTTTTTTGAACCTTAAACCGGATAAACACATTGCATTACACCAAATACACAAAATAATGTTCTTTTTAGCAACATCATATGACCCCTTTAATGTCAACATTTCAGCTTTGTAGTGTTTAAAATGACAGATTATTGATTATTCTACATCTCTCTACATAGGTCAGAGTGTGGAGGTGCAATGCTCCCATCTTTCAAAGACAACAGTGGAAGTCACGGCTCCCCCATCAACGGAAAGCTCCGCAGCGTCTTCCTCGGCTGCAACACAGAGTTCGACACAGGCCTCCCTCCCAAAGACTCCCCATACGGCCCTCTGCGCTTCCAAATTTCTGCCGATCGTGTCCTCACCCCGAGTACAAACCTCTACTTTGCTGACTTCTACTGCATGTACACAGCGTACCATTATGTAGTGCTGGTGCTGGCCCCTGCTGGATCGGAGGGGGATAGCTTTTGCAAGAGCCGCCTTCCACGACTGGACCTGTCAAGCAATCCCTTCCTGACATTCACGCCTGGAGACGTACCGGCCTTCTGTCACGCCAGTGACGTCATTCTGGAGGTGTTGTACACAGAGCCCTTGCTTCTGGAGCACGGCATACTCGCTCAGATCAGCGGCCATCACCAGCTCATGAGCCTTTCCACTGCGAATGCCAAAAAAGACCCGAGCTGTAAGGTGTGCAATATCAGTGTGGGCCGCTGAGCTGTGAATGGCAGCTCTCACTGGAAGTGCAACCGGAAACTGGACCATGAAAACCTCACTGCTCTGGAAATGGACCCAAAGTTCTGAATAAATCTGAATAAATAGTCACACCTATGAAAAGAGGTATTTGGAATTTGAAAATACACCAAAGGCATTGCACAAAAGAGGCAAGAATAAATAAAAATGAATGAGGTCATGATAGTCCGGCCACTTGTTATGAAACCAAGCCATATGATCTGTGAGGCAACTATTCAGATCTTAAAGAGACCGTTCACCCAAAAATGTTTCATCATTTACTCAGTCTTTTAAAACCTGTATATTTTAAAGCACCGTAAAAGTGGTCCATGATGAGACTAGTGTTATATTTTGAAAGTCTTCTGAAGCCATATGATAACTTGTGTGAGTCCACTTCCTTAAGACTAATCATATATAAAGGTTACATTATTGAATTATGTAATTGATTCTATTTATTTTTTGTATTAAGTCATTTGGGTTGTCACCTGTAATTAATTTGATGAGTCGTTATGTGCGTGTATATGCATAAATAGGTTACATTAACTGTACAGAATGCTTTAACATAGAATAAAACACTTCTGAAAGTTTCTGCATGTTACTTTTGTAGGTTGTCTGTGTGAAAATGATTGTTTCAGTACAGCTCTGACCAAGTTTTAGTGGTTTTGATGCACAAAAAAACAAAACAAAAAAACATTGCAAGAGGCTTATCAAACATAGTACTGCATGGGTATCATGGACCAAACCATCCACAGCTTTGCTTCAGAATTACATATCATAATAGGCCTTGACTTGTCAATAATTGAGTGCAAGTGAGAATGCTTGAGCTTCAAACTCCAAAAACTGAATGAAGTCGACAATATATAACAAATGGAAGAAAAACTGCCTGAAATTTAAATTTCCAAATAACATAAGTAATGTAATTCACAGCGCATATAACAGCCATTAAATCACTTTTACAGATGTTACAGATATTTGCTAACTAATTGGCCAGTGTCTGTATGTAATACATAATCTGATCAGGGTTGATTATGAACAGGCCATTCATAATCAGACTGAACAAGCACTGATTTCTAGGTCTGTCTGTCTGCAGCTGAGAGCAGGATTTATCTGGCACGTCCTTAAAACTCACATGATTAAGACAAATTACAACGCAAGCTCACAATTTCCCTGCCAGCAGAGATGATTTCTTTATGGCTTCTGCACAGCATTTTACGCAGCAGTGCTATATCTTGGAGGTCAAATGAAAGATCTCAGTTGAGTTTAGTTTTCCACTTAAAATGCAATGGTACCACAAACCTAAAACATCAATAAAAACCATAATTCTCAGATTAAAAAAAAAACAAAAACCTTAAGCTACATAAATCACATCTTCAGTTTCCAATCAGGGGTTCTCGCGTCAATCCAAAAACCTGGCAGGTACCAATCCTTGGAATTAATGGATTTAATTGGATTATATTTATAGCGTCCAAGTCAAAAACGTCCTGGGATTTGAATGAACCTCCTTGATCCTAGTTTGTGTCCCATGTGAAACGGTTTTAGCTCGTAACATTCGTCACTCAACTGGAGAAACAAATAGAATTTAAAATAAATACATCTCAGAGCATAACTTAAATACAAAGCATAGAAATTTGACAATTTTAGGTTGTCCTTGACCACAGAAACCTTTGATATAAAACCGCAATACATAAATACAAGCGCAAAAGACCAATCAGGATGCAAGTTCAGTGCGCTTTATTTTATTTAATAAATTCACTTTAAAAGTTTTATTAAATTACCCACCGTATGCAAGTGTTTTATAAACATGGTAAAGTGCTCAGTCTTACAGGATAAACGGCACATTCCTAAAATCGTTCATCTTTAAAAGTAGGCCTAGAAGAAAATATAAAAATTAGCACATTTATTCGATACAAATCTAAAAAATATATTTTTTTATAAACATGGTAAAGTGCTCAGTCTTACAGGATAAACGGCACATTCCTAAAATCGTTCATCTTTAAAAGTAGAAGAAAATATAAAAATTAGCACATTTATTCGATACAAATCTAAAAAATATATTTACCACAGCATGCAAGGTTTAATAAACATTTCCACAGTATATGAGATTTATACATGCTGATTTGCCAAATACATTTACATTTATAAAATACATTTGAGTGCTCAGAAAAGCACTCCGTTATCGTGGCACAGCAGACAGCATTAAGTTAGTCAGTAGTGCTAAACGGGTCAGAAAGCAGGTGACAAAGTGCAACGTTTGTAGAGTTTCAGGTTTGTTTGCACAAAAAGTGTTTAAGTGTCATTAGAAAACAGCAGTCACACTTCACACACATGAATGCAGTAGTTTTTGCCGTTATTATTGTCCCATTGAGCAGCACTGAACGCAGCGGGTAAGTAAGACACGCAGAACTCGATGCGCTCGCGCGGGTTTATCCGCTCAGGGACGCCGATGTTAAACTCAAACACGTCGGTTCCAGGTTCCCCATAACTCTGCTCCAGGTAACTACACGCCACGTCCTGGTAACTGCGCCAGGCGTCGAAAGTGATACGGATTTGCACCGCTTTCTCAAAACAAACGTTCTTGACGCGCACGGTGCCGAGGATGGAGCACCTGGTCACATTACAGCTCTCCAACGCCACCATACGTTCCTGAAGACGACTTCTGAACGCCTGGAAATCGCCACAAGGCTGCTCAAACCCAAGCCTCAACCTCGAAATATTATTAACGGTCTCTTTCAGTCGTGGTATTTCCACCGGTTCACGCGGGATTTTGTCCCCTTTCTCGGAGAACAGGCGCACCGTGATGAGGGAAAGTCCTCTGGCGTCCGCGAACGCGACGCGTTTTTCCCCGCGGCCTCTTTCGGCTGTGATGAGGCCTGTGGAAGGGGAGTGTCTGTACTCAATCACCGGCTGATGGGAGATGCAGGGCCTCAGGGGTTTGGGGGAAGACACGCCGAGCAGGCGGTTGATGTTGGGCGATCCTCTGCACCTGAAGCCCGAGGTCACCTCCACAGACCTCACAGAGACCGGCGGGCCAAACCGCGACATCACACTGGAGGTGCAGAAATACGACAAAATGAGGATTTCTCCACTTTACAACCTCTTTTTACAGGGTTCCCACACTTTCTGACCAATGAATATATGCGTTTTCAGACGTTTGTAATGTTTGCAGTGCACTCACAAAGAGTGAGTTCTAGCTGAAGAAGTAATTTAGAGCTGGGGTCTAGTATAAATATTGCCTACAGAAATTGCGATGACTTGTCAATAGCATTTTTAAAATCACTTTTAATGACTTGTCCAGGCCTGGAAACCACACTTTTGAAATATTTCCAGATTTTTCATGATTGTGGAAACCCTGGTCTTATTAATTATTAAGACCATAAACTTATTTTGCACAAGTCATCTTCAGCATAGGCTATAATACTGAAATTGTCCTTCAGAGTTCTTATTTCCTTTCCTCCCAAAGCGGTCACACACTTTAAAGTGAGCTGATGCTGTAAAAACACAGACATAAGTGGTTTTAATAATTTAACACATTTTTAACATTTTTGATCAAACTTGAAAAAAAAAAATCTTACTGTGCTTTCATTTTGATCATTGGATTATCAGATGAAATACTTAAAAAATATCTTCTTTTTCGTTGTTGTATTGAAGGACACTTGCACTACCTGCTCAGCTGAGCTTCAGGAAGCCTTGTGTGAAATCTTGCGTCACTTCATCTTTTATAGTAGATTGATCCCTCCTCCAAATTCAAGCCAATGAGCTTTGCAAAGACGGGATAGGACTTAACCAGCTATTTATGACCTGATCTGTGGGCTAAAGAGGAGGAGACTAAATCCTAAGGCAAATACATTTGGATACTTGACAAATATCAGGAAACATTCAGGTTGATGAATATCAAGTTAACATTAATATGAATGCTTAGGGAAAACAGCTATATTGTATTTCCTGTGTCCTTTATTTTTCTTTAATTAATTAATTAATTTATTTATTTCAGGTGACTTAAGTAGTTCTAAATAGTCCAGCGTGACAAATGAATTCATTTTTTAAGGTATAAATACACCATGTAGGCTCTCAACTAATGTAAAGTAAAAAAAATTATCTAACAAATAAACTTTAAAATAGCATATCAGTGCAAAACGTCACTATAAATTTTATTTATAGCCTATATAAGTTGATGTTTATTTGCTAAGTACATTTCTGTAATTTATTAGTATTATTTTTTGCTCCCACCATTATACATACATACATATATATATACATTTTTGTAAATATTTTATTATATCTTTTCATGTGACAACACTGAAGAAATGACACTTTGCTACAATGTAAAGTAGTGAGTGTACAGCTTGTATAACAGTGTAAATTTGCTGTCCCCTCAAAATAACTCAACACACAGCCATTAAAGTCTAAACCGCTGGCCACAAAAGTGAGTACACCCCTAAGTGAAAATGTCCAAATTGGGCCCAAATTTTGTGTGCGCCCACCACGATGATCTCTGATAATCCCGGGTTGCTATGGTCACGCAGGTTTGTTTACGCATTAAACTCGTGGCCACGAGAAAAATATGTGTTCCCTCAACATAAGAAGTTGTGGCCACGAGAAATGGATGTCGTTACCTCGACAAAATGATCTCGTGGCCACGACATAATATCACGTTCCCACGAGTTAATATGACGTTCCCTCAAATTAATATCTCGTGGCCACCACATATTATCAGGTTGCCACGAGTTATTATGTAGTGGCCACGACAAAACTAAGTGAACCGAACATGTCACCTTACGGGCACCGTAAAAAACAGCCAATATGGTGTCTAAAACGTAAGTCTCTTGATATTAACTTATTTAACTTGTTTATTGAACTGTTGTATAAAATAAATATCACATTTGTAACCATGCTTTTTTTTTATATAAAAAAAACAAACGGCACTCTTCGTGTGATATTGATTAACTGTATGAAATTATATAAATATATACATTTTCTGCCCCCTTATCTTGAATTATGTGATCATTCTTAATGCATATTAATAGACTGAATCATGCAGTGAAAGAACGCACTCTAAAAACGCACTAAAGCCTGTGTTGGTCTAACCAGACTTCATCACGTAGTCTCTTATGCGTGCACTAGGTGTGTTTTGTTTGGTTTTTGCAATATACTCGATAATGTCGGTGCCCAAACTCGGTCCTGGAGGGCCGGTGTCCTGCAGAGTTTAGCTCCAACTTGCCTCAACAC